CATGGGACATGTGACGTCATCATGGGACATGTGACGTCATCATGGGACATATGCCGTCATTGTAAACGTGCACACTTTCAGCCCCTATATCTCATGAACGGGAAGTCTGATTGGGTTGACACTTGGTATGTGTGTTTTAGATAAAAATTGAGGTGACGTCATCATGACATCACCATGTGGTTTAAAATATATTTTTGAAGTTTTGGAGACATTTGCCATTATCTCACGAACGCAATATGCTAAAAATCAAAATTCTTTTTGTATTAGGTTTGTTAGGCAATAGGTATATCCACAACATTTTGAAAAATGTGTGACGTCACAATGACGTCATCAAAAATGCCATTTTTAAAAACACATATAAGGGAATGTCCAATCGTCATGATCAACTTTTCCCTTCTATCTTTCTGGGGAAATACAAGACATCTATAACTCTTCAACATTCAAACACTGTGTTTATGTGTTGTTTGATGTTTGGGAATAAAAACAAATGGCCCAAACAGCGTTTAATATAGATTTTGTAACTAGTAGGTTTTTTGTAAATCTGTTGAATTTTTTTTAACAACAATGTTCGGTACGTTTTGTACACAAAAACTGGGAGCCAAGGATGACGTTCGGTATAGCCGAATGTTCGGTATAGTGGTGTTCGGTATAGCGGCGTTCCACTGTAGTACTAATAAACAAAATTTGAAATGACGTTGTAGATTTTTTTTACAATTTTTTTAAATATTAAGATTAAGATCAAGATAAAGATTATTTATTCGTCACGCATTAAAAAGAAAAATACATGAAAATTGTTTTTCTGATGTACAAGTTATTAAACACTAAAATTTTAAAAAGACATATTAACGGACAACCAAAGAAACCCAACTGTATAACACAGCATCCACATACATACAATATACAAATAAATTCGATCCCATTGTAAGATACATGTATGTAAAAACCCATATAAAAACACCAGGAATCCATAACATAATGTAAACTATCGGCAAAAGCTGGAATTGAATGTACTGACTGCACAAGGCAGAAAAGAATTCTTGAAACGATTGGTTTTAGTGGCAATTTGGCGGACCCTCCCAGAATGATTAACAACAATAGATGAATTGAGTGGATGGGTTATGTCACCTTTGATCTGTTCAAACTTTGCACGCATTGTGCCCTCCAGAATATCCCACACATCATTCAATTCGCAGCCAATGATCTTAGCAGCATTCTTTGTTACACGCTCATCTTTTTGCGGTCACTCACATGAAGTAAATTAAACCAAACAACACAACAGAAAGTAATGACGGATTGGATAGTACTTTGATAAAATAACTTTAAAATTGTTTCATCTATCCTCAAAAATTAGAGTTTCCTATAAAGGAAATACATTCTTTGATTGGCCTTTTTGAATATGTTCGCCGTGTTAGAATTCCAGTTCAACCGATTGTCAATACATGAACCTAAGTATTTGTATTCAGTCACAATATCCACAGTTTCGTCATTAATTACAATTGGCTCAATCTGATTTCTGTCCCTGCAAAAATCAAATACAATTTCTTTTGTTTTCTTCACATTAAGAACTAAGGAATTATGTTCACACCATTGAAGTAGTTTCAGAACTTCATTCCTGTAGGCTGTTTCGTTCATTAAAAATCGTCCCAGACAAAGCAGTATCATCTGCATATTTGTTCAGAGCACAAAAGTCGCTCCCTAAGATATAATCACTGGTGTACAGAGAAAATAAAACACACCCACGATTTTATTCTGCTTACAAAATTTAACACTTTTAATGGAATTTCAACAGTTATTATTTTTAATTTGTTCTCTATCTATAGGGTTTGAACATGTTTTTTTTTTCCCCAACCATACCCTCTGGCACTTTCCCATGTCTGATTGACTTAAGGCTTGGCAGACATTTAGACCACCATCCGAAGATGGTTCGCTACAATTGTGTCACATCACGTCATACAAAAGGTGCATTTTTCCAGTTGCTATATCTTCCAAAGTACACATCCGATTGGGTTGAAAAATGGTATGTCCATAGACAGGGATGTGGAATAGATGAAAATTGAAGTGACATCATGATGATGTCAACACAAGTCATTTTCAAATGTCTATATCCAAAGAATGGTATGTCCATTGGTTTGGTTTTAATTTGGTAGGGACCTTACCTGGGATGGGGTACGTTATAGATGAAATAAGTGGCGTCATTATACAGTACAATGCAACTGAAAGTTAACCCGGCAGTGGGAAATTCTGTCACACTTTTTCTCTTCCCAGGAAACACATTTTTATTTCACAAAGTATGAAAATGTCTTCCCACATTGGAAAAATATTTTCACACCTTTTTACGCAAGTGGGAAATATTTTCACACCGTTTCACACAAGTGGGAAAATATTTTCACACCTTTTCATACAAGTGGGAAAATATTTTCACACCGTTTCACACAAGTGTGAAAATATTTTCAAACCTTTTCACACAAGTGGAAAATATTTTCACACCTTTTCACAGAAGTGGGAAAATATTTACACCTTTTTCACACAAGTGGGAAAATATTTTCACACCCTTTTCACACAGGTGGGAAACATTTTCATGAAAGCGGAAATGCCAATGCGAAAGGGGAACTCGAATTCCTGTCACAAACTTTCCCATTCCCATTCACAGTGTTAACGTCTTCAAACGGACAAAAATTTTAGTATTCTCTTGTTCTAGCAAACAAATCATGCTTTAATCTTAATTCACTTTGTAAGATGTTTGTCAAAGATTGTCAAAAAAATGTGTGCTGCATGACAATAAACCACTCAAGTTGTGTAACAATGTGTAGTAAATCTTTCTTTCATGTTGTTTGTCAATATCAACGCACCACGCTCGGGTTTTTTTCGATGTGCGACATGCATGGGCATCGCCAGGATTTTTTCTAGAGGGGGGCAAAAAATTTTTTTTGCAAAAAAATGCTTGTTTTTCTCAACACATTCACGATTTATCAGTTTTAGAGGGGGGCAGGGACATTTTGCCCCCCCCCCAACTCATTAAATTTACACCACTTTATCTTCGCGCCTCTTTTTCTTTTTTCTTTTTCTTTTTTTTTCTTCCTTTTTTTTTGGGGGGGCTTTTCCAGGGGGGGGGGGGCAAGTGCCCCCCCTTGCCCCCCCCTCGCGACGCCCATGGCGACACGGTCGCATGGCCGGTCCTATTTAATAGATAGATGGTGCACCACTTGCAACTGGGCTATCTCGTGTGCATCCTCAGCAGTTTCTAATGCGGTCACATGGCCACAGCAAAGAGCTATTGATTGGACTGCTGACATGCGGGCCACAATTGGGCCAGTGGTAGTGCTTGGGCTTACTCAAAAGCCAGGACTTGTTGCAGTTACGTGCTGGATGTCCAATTACAATGCTGCATGCAAGCTGCATCCCCACGTGAAAAGACCAAGTCCGTTGGGCAGTAATGAGTCATGACAAAAGTTTTGGGATGTTGCTTATACGTTTCTTTGTGACTGTTTGGCAACGTTTGCTATGGACTGGCCAAACAAAAGTTTGAGTTAAACATACCGGTACCGGTACCAGTGCAGGTATTTTGAAGTACAGGGATATCAGGTGAGGATCCTGGGGGGGGGATCCCCTGCTACGACATCCCCCCAAAAATATACTGGTAATAAAGTCTGCCTGTGAACAAAATTAGTCTATGTAATAGACCACGGTGAAATAAGTCTATTTAATAGACCACGGCGAATGCGTGAACAGATTCGCCGATTAATTAGGCAAGACTCCGCCTCTTGACCTCCTAGATTTTGACCAATCAGCGGCCACTCTCTATATAGTGGTGTTCCCTAACGTGGCACACTCCAACGTTTACCCCAACTTTCCACATCAGTGTCGCCAAACTTCTTTGTTGACAAACTTCAATTTCATTCAGTAAAATACTGGTACTTTTAGCCTATTAATGCTTGCTATTTATAACCTCTGTGAATAATTTCGATGTCATGAAATTTTATCCGAAGTTCAAAAATGGTGGCATCCAAAAATTGGGCACAAATCGGCTGAGTGTTCCACAACGTAGCGCGCTTGAAAAAATCTCCGAAAATCGAAATAAACATTTAAGAATTTCTGTAAATGTATTCTGATAAACCATATTTATGTCTACTTTCACACCCAACTAGAAGTTTGTCAGAAAATTATTTTCTAATTTTTGGGGACATTTTCAAAGGGTTCACTGTGCACTTCAAAATAAAATTGGAAAATCACGCCGAAATAAATTTTTCTTCTAACTTTGTAACGGGTAGATAAACTCGTTATTTATGAACCGGAGTGTTAAGAACTTGATGAAATTTCAGTTTCTGTGAAATTTCAGTTAAAACTTTTGCTCTAGCTAGGCCCTACAGGCGAAAAATAAACATGCGCCATGTTAGGGGCCACGCCATGTTAGGGTACACCAACAATATCGGGTCTTCAGTCAGTCACCCGTTGCGTGTCGTACATAATGGTTACAAAAAATGTCTCACGTGCTCTGTATCATTTTACGCGATATCGTGCCCAGCTGTTGTTGTATTACAAAACAGTGCATTCGAATTGACCAATCATTGACCAATTTAGGAATGAAATGACATCACAATTAAGTAAAGTCGACTCCGATTGGCTGGCGCGTGGCTTGCATTTATCTGCATGTCTAGACATATCAGACGATATACAGGAGGCTTGCTCCGTGGATAGCGGGTGATACTCAGACTAGTTGGGTTAGGGGGTATTTGTACACTATTTTGTAATATAGTTTGAGTAATTGATTTGAACAGCGCCCCCATTTAAAATATGCTAAGACCCCCCCCCCCTCGAGATAAACAGAGTTTTTAGGTATTTGGGTTTAATGTGTAACACAAAAAAATATCTAGTGATATTTTAATTACTTAAATGACACTTTAAATCATTTAAATAACCATGATGACAGATGACAGAAGTGCATTCAACATTAATGTGTACGAGGTTTCATCAAATAATTATAATATAAAGTTGTAGCCCACCTTTTGTTCCTGGTACAATGCCAACTTGCTGCTGTACTTCTGTAGTTCCAAATGTTTGGGCATTAGCCAGCAGAACAGGGACATGTACATAACTTGTCTGGGTATCTGCAGCCTGTTGTTGTCCATATGTGTTACCAACTGGTTGCATCATTGAAGCAACACTGGATAATATCCTACCAGGCCTTGTATGTCCAGAGGATTGCGGGAATTCTTGCTGTTGATCTGTTGGTTGGTTTGTTGGGAAGTCTTGAACTGTGTTATGGGTAGAGGCTGGTGATAGGTATTGCTGATATGTACGGATGGGTGAAGTTTGGGATTGCAAATGGTCCGCAGCTTTTCCTGTAGGCTGCAATAGAACAGTGCAATAAGAATAGTTTACAGAAGGGATTTTAATTCCATTTGTTTTTACGGACCTGTATTTTGCTACACCACATCCAGACTTTGTTTTTTTTACCAAAAAGTAGTTAGCAACGTATGGGTGTGACTCGCGGGGCACTGTCAGTGCCACCCTGATCTCACAGCCCATTAGATGGTTCTGTGGGAGCCCAAAACATGGCAGGAAGAGGCGCGGTAGGCAAGCTATGTCCTATGTGGGGGTACTGAAGAAAGATGATGATGATGAAAGTATGGGTGGCATATGCCATAATTGCAAAAATAAAGGAACAACTCATAACAGAGATTTTATTAAACAACATACCATTTAATAATCTGACGCCTACTATGGATAATTCCACACTTGTGGTCACCCATATACAAAGAAACTGAGTAATAACAATGAAAATTTGTTTTGTTTTAGAGATGGGAAGAAAGTTCCATTGATACTAAGCATGGATTTTGGATCCAGAATTTCGTTAGATGAGGGGCATACCCAAAATGGGGTTTGCAAGCGAACTGAGCAATGTATAGACCTCGGGGAATTGTAAGGTCAGAGAATCAGTCTAGCAGGCTTGTACTCCTTCACAGGTGTGTAATCAATTGCAAACAAAATGCGGAATAAAAAAAAACAGCTTTCTCCAATGCTGGTCGGCCAACCAACGTTGGAAAAATACAATTTTTCTTGAAAATGTCAGCACACCAGCAGCTACGATTTAACAGGATGCTTTAGACTGCCATTCCCTAACAATCCAGTGAGATATTTTGTGATAATGTGATCGTTTCATTTTTTTATGTTTGTAAATGTTGTATCTTCCCTTTAAAGTGGGGGCAAAGCACTTTTGAAGCCATCTCATTTTGAGCAAACGGCAAGTGATTTAGTAAATATTTTTGCCAGGGGGTGCTGGAACCGATATTCCAACCTGGGTTAAATAATAGCAAAGATGCATTTTTCAAGGACTGACACATGCGAGCGCAGATCACAAAGCCCTTTGGCGTGGGGTCTGGGCCCATTATTAATTATGACAATTATAGTAATAACTATTGCCTATATGTCTGCCTGTCCGAAACAATCAGACACAGAGGCATAGTGAGCGTTGGGTAAGGGAGGTATTTGCACATTTGTTTTGGTCCGATAGTGTGCATTATTGTGTGATGTGAATACCCCCTCCACACACATACACGTTTGTTTAGGTGTAAATCAAGGATTTTCTTTTGTTCCTCTTCCCTTTTCCTTTGTTTATACTCTTAACTTTTTGACAACATCTCTCATTTGTTTTGTACAAGTTTCTAATCGAGGTCATCCTCGATTTGGTTCCTGTCCTCAATTCACCGATGATGTTGCACATGTATGTGTGTCCTCGAATTACACCATAAACAAACCCACACACACTTTTCATTTCTACGGAGGTCGAGTGTCCGGAGAAAAAACCTGTCCACATTTCAGCACTGATTTGCAAAAGCCCTTTTCACGAACGTTTTACAATAAAAATGAACTTAGGTCACTTGGACATAAAAAAAACTCTCAGGCCTGTACCCCCCCCCCTTGGATCTGCCCCTGATCTGCCCCTTTTATGTCCATTTTATCCGTTTTATTTCGGAAAACTGATTTGCTCATTTTGTAGGACATAATTTGTAAATTGTTGTAAGGCTGCTTTCTGTTGGTTACTATGCATACCTCAATGTTTCAGCAACATTAAAAGTTTAGTTTATCAATGATTACTATATGAGCAGAAGAAAATGCTTGAACATTTCATTTAATTACCCACTGAATTCAATTTGAAATCAGTGTTATTGAATCAAAGTAAAAACTAAAACAGAAGAGCAACATTGCAACTGTCCTTAGCCTAGTTTTTAGCCTTGTCAGCACTATGAAAATCTAAGTTTCTCCCTCCCCCATTTTTGGGGGCATGTAATTTGCAGTTTGCCCTTCATTTTTGATTTATCCTGATTTTTTTTCATGGTTTTGAGTCTTAAATGTTTGATGTCAGCTTAAGGTCAACTTTACTAATTCAATACTGCTGAATCTGAATCTGTTTGTTCACATTGGCCCAAACTGCACATTAACGTTATGAGGACATTATTTTCTTCTTATTATTTTGCCCATTTTTGGTCAAAAATAGTATTGTTGCCATAACTTCTATGTTTTAAGTTCAAATGTTTTCAAATTTGACACAACAGATAAAAAGGAAGTCAGCAGGAACAATATAAGTCATTATTTAACGCACAACACGGTGCTTGAAGTTTATTTTTGTAGAATCGATCCTTTTATATTAAAACATGAGCATGATGAGATTTTGACGTGGCGTTACTTATAAGGATTTTATGTACGCACCTCTGCCGTCCCTGTACAATACAAATCAATCACAAGTAGATAACAAGTCATTCAGTTTCAAGTAAATAACTTGAAGTGACACATTTTTTCCTCATTTCTTTACCAAGAATACATGTTTTTTGGGCGGTAAAACTGGGCTTCCAGAATCCAAATCGAAAAGGCATCGCGCAGTCTTGAAAAAAAAATGTTTTACTTGATGTGTAGAAGATATGAGGCGCGCAGTTTCCTCTGAATAGCCAGGGTTCAAAATTAGTGGTAGCCCGCTAGCCAAATGCTAGTCAAAACAGAGGCGGGCTAGTCAAACTATTCTTTAAGTAGCCCAGCTGGCGAGTCAAAAAATTATTGGGATATGTATTTGTACAAAACTGTTTTAAAGGGTTAAAGTATTAAACCTGTTTATCAAAAACACTGAAAAATTGCCTCGGAATAGATGAGAAATCAGTCGGTAATAGGTAAACAACGAATGTTACTTACGACCTTTTATCATTCCTAGGTTGCCTTGTTGGATCACGTTTGTTTCACATCACATACTTGCGTGAGAACGAAAATGATAACGATTATTTCATAAATGTTCATGCTTGAACGAGTGATGGAGTTCCATGAGTCCTCACGGAAGTTTTCGGAAGAGAGAGGTCAATTTTTTGCACGATATTTCTCTTTTGAGTCATGCGATTTTTCAGCTTCACTAAATTCCGAGGGGGATTTTCTTAAGAAATCAATGTACCAAAACTAATTTCAAAAATTCCCATAGCTACACCGCTGTAGGGGGGGGGCCTACAATTCATTCATATTAAATTTTCTCGGGGTATGTTCCACTCTCCCTGGTGCTGCAGCTTATGCCATGGCAACTGCAGTGTACAGTAGAACGCCGTTATAACGAACACCATTGGGCCATAAAAAATGTTCCTTATAGTGGTCATTCGTTATGGGGATTGTGCGTAATAATATAATTAACCTTTTTGGGAGCCAAAGGGGATGTTTGTTATAGCCAAATGTTCGTTAAAGCGATGTTCGTTATAGTGGCCTTCCAGATAATTGAGATTGATAATTAAACTCTGTTATTTCCAGTAACAGTAGACTAGAGAATTAAATTTTTTAAATTTTTTAAGTTTGCCCAGTTCAAACACTCGGGGGGCCGCAGAACTGGAGGGGATACTTGCCCCCCCCCCCCTCGATCCCCCGATTTACCCAAGTGCCCCTCTTAAATGGGCCCCCCTCTAGCATAAATGTGCCCCTTGGAGATGAAATCAAATCTGGCCGTATAATTTCTGATAGTTTGTTTTCAGTAACCACTTCCCAAAATGGTACAGAGAGTTCTGATTAGGCTTGAGCTGTTCCAATCTTCCTGGAGCCGTTCCCAAAAAAGAACCGGTTCTGAGTCGGAACTGGCTCTCAGAAAATTCAATGAAAAACATAAGCTCTGGAAATCACATGTAAACAATAACTGTGTCACCTTGTGAGGCTGTGCTCCGTGGATTTCGATGTGCAATACACTGTACATTCTACTATGTATTTGTTTTCAAACAGTGTCTTTTTCCTGTGAAACTGCAAGATTTATTACTTTATATGCTCTGTTCTTTCCCATGATTAATATTTACCGCGACGACACTGTCATGCAGCCGAGAATAACGATTCACTGCACAGCACAAGCACACGCTACATATACACTGGTACCTTGCTTTCAATGAACACGTGGAACCGGTCGAGTGCTGGAATCGGCTCCGACGGAGCCGGCCGGCCCCGTGTACAAATTTACCCCGGCTGATTCGAACGAGTCATGGGCGGTCCGCTTATATATCTAGCAGGTATGGCAGGCTATTTTTCACCATGTGCGCCGATATCAAAAAGAAGTTTTAGAAATGAAGCATAGGAATAATTCATTTTCATGCAACTGTACATTCGAGACTCATATGGAGCTGGGGATTTTTTTACATGTACCCCGGCCAATGGCTCGCAAAATCCGAATCGCAAACAGCGCTGAACCCAGTGGTGCGCACTACGGGTACGGGTCCGTGCGTAGAGCCGATTCCTGCGGCACGCATCGGAGCCGGGGCCATCAGAGCCGATTCCAGCACTCAGAGCCGGTTTTCAAAAAAATTGGACTCGCGGTTCCAGTTCTCGTATTGGAACTGGGTAGAACCAAGGGAACCTCGCAATACTAGTTCTGATATGAACGACGAATATGAAAACCAACCAAGCCCCTCTAAACCCTTACAATGCGCCCTGAAAATGGGCACACAATGCGTACTTTGCATAATGGCCGGTTTTGAAGAGCACCCCCGCCCCCATTTGATTTTACGGAGGCCAAGTGTCCAGTGACAAAAAAACGTGTCAACATTTCTGCATGAATGTGGCCCCCCCCCCCCCAAATGCTGGGTACACTACTGCACCGATGGAAGATGCCTTTTACTGAGCAAGTGCCCCTTTTCAGTGATGCGCCCCCCCCCCCCCCGCCCCTCCCTCCCCCCCCCCCCCCCCCAGGTTGAAAACCATTCCGCCACCATTGCAAACACTAATTTGGGACCTGCTAAGAGTGGGGGGGGGGGCGCAAGTAATGGCCCCCCCCCCCCCCCCCATTCTGCCGCAAGCACCATACTATACATTACGTATTTTAAAGGTGTTACCCTACCCCTCCCTCTCTTTCTCTCTCTATCATCTCTCTATTTTTAAAAATATTTACTGGGCGAAGGTGCCCCTGTGGTCCCCTCACCCCGCCCTGCCCCCATTGGGCCCCCTCCCCTGGATCCCAGATTTGTGTGAGCACTGAAAGCAAATGATATCACAAGTCTTGATGGATTCAAACCCAAATTATCAATGTGGAAGGTGTGGTCAATTTTTTTTTACCTGCTCAGGTGAAGTGTATGTATACGGAATAGGATGCAACCCTGCTTGCAGGTCACCAACAAAGGTGGGTCTAAGGTTATTTATAGGTTGATCCCCAAACTGTAGGAGCCCCTGGGTTGACATGTGCTTCTCCTGCTGCTGTAGTGCATAGTTCAGTCTTTCAATCTCTCGGAGCAAATGTTCAATATCATAATCACGTACAGAAGGTTGAGCAGCTGTAATAGAATAAGTCATTATTGAGTATATCAATTGCAAAAACAATCCAAATTTATGGCAAATATCTGTAACTGAAAACTGAAAAAATTCACAAATATATTTTTTGTTAATGCCATTTAACAATGCCTCAATAACTTACAGTTGTCTAACTGGTGGGTCACTGATCATGTGTCACTAATTATTCCTCTCAATGCACAGCCCAAGTTCATTGTAAAAATAGAAGTCCCGTTCTACGGAACTTCCATTAGACGGTCACATGATTGTTGCCTCAGATCAGATGAAGAGAACTTTATTCAGGTGTTGTTTAAAACCAATAATGAATGTTTAAAATTACTGCAATAGAAAGAATAATTTTATGCGGTGACAGATAGCATTGTTCCATTCCACTTGGCTTTGCCTCCTGGCACATTCCATGTATGACCTCATGAAATTATTCTTACTATTGCACTTGTAAACATTCATTGCTTGTATAATATCAAGTGGTAAAGAAGTAGAGAGCTCCATTCAGTGCTATGGAAAGAAAGGACTCAAAAATTGTTTCTGAAATATTTTACTTTCAGATATCAAATTGTACAGGTCACTTCAAAGAATACGAAAGATGAGGCAAATGTACACCATTATTTGTCACATATGGCACTGTCACATAAATCCCTTTAGAGGTAATGTGTTGAGTAATAATGGCTGTGACTCAATAAAAGCATGGCTTGGTCTTACAATCAATACAAGCGAACACCAACTGAAAAGTATCCCCGTTTGTGTTTCTTTATTACCATTTTATTGACCAACAAACACAACAGTGACAATGAGGATTAACCTAGAATACATGGCCTACATACAGGGATAACCCCTGACAACTCTTGAGTGAAACAACAGTGATGGGTTTTAATAGGGAAATTATGGAAATGTGCTCATACACACAAATTCTGCATAAACATGGATTGTTGCATTTAATCTGTTACATGAATACCACCATTGTTTGCCCATACACATCCACGTCAGTATAGAATGACTTTAATAGTATTTTACTGCAGTGGACATTGCCGAATCGGAAGCTAATGCTGTAAATGTAAAGCTAAACTTTTCAGTAGCATTGGGAGTGTAGTGAAGACAATTAATGACCTCTCTTTCCAAATACAACCCAGGAAAAAAAAATTAACTGTTAAATTTACCAAGAAATTTGCAGTCATACATTTATTTCCCCTTCATAATGCTAGACAATTGCCAGGACAATGCCATCACTGCATATGGGGAAGATTTTTATTGTTAGGGAAATAAGGACTGAGTTATGGGGACTTTCTGCCATCCCCATACCGTCTTTGGTCCCCATAGTACCATGGGACAACATGTGTGTAGTCCCCACAGTTATTTGTGCATGTTTATTGTGTAAATTGAGGAGACACATGCAAAGCATCTTCGATTACTCGAGGGCTGGAGGAAAATCAAGGAAAACCAACGGCAGCTGTGGCAAAAACAGAAGATCGATGATGAGGAACAATAGAAATCCCCCCCCCTCCACAAAGGTGTGGGCCGATTCTACTAGCGAATACTTTCCTTTAGAGTATTACTACATATGCGTTATTCCCTAGAGGGTGCTAGCGATTCGCTAAGATTAATTACTCACAGTACATTGTGGCCCGCCCGCCAAACTTCCTCTTATCTCGAGTGTAAGGTGCGTAAGTGAATGCGTACGTGAGAGTGGGGAGGTGGGTGGGCACTCTGCAGGTAAGTATTCTCAAGTAAAAACACCTGCGTGGGGGGTGGAGATTCTTCTGCCCTCTACTAACCCGTAGATTATTACTACATATGCAGAATAGCACTGTTTTAGGTAGGTGGGTGTGCATACGACATATGACTGTACTATGTGTAAGGCAGGCCACAACGAAGCGTGAGCCCAAAGCCAACAGAAAAACCCACTAAAGTAAACCAGAGGAATTGGCTGTTAATATAATCGGGTAAGCCGTCACTGGTCGGTACTGCAGGGCACCAGCGGAGGAACAACTGGATCCGGTTGCGCCACTGATGAGGCAGTAGAGAGGGCTGCACGACAGTTCTGCTGTCAGCTTGCAGCACATCCCTGAAGTAACAGGAGGTGCAAGGGCCACTCCTTTCAAAAAGAGGCCAAAGAGGTCGTCAAGTTGCAAACTTCTTGGGCCTGTACTCTGTTCGGGATAAGCCAGTCAGATGATACGAGTCATGTGACAGTCATGACCCAGCGAGTGATTGTATTGCTGGAGGATGTGGTGAAACCGTAGTTATGAACAGAGTCGTGGTCACAGCAGAGCGGTGCAGTCTGATGGAGGCACCACTCGCGGGTCCGGATAGGACACCAGAGCTTGTCCTCTGGGACAGAGCAGAAAGACTTTAAGTCAGGAACGAAGATGTCAGGTGGGGAGAATATCCCGACTGGTTCTTCGAGAGGAAATATCGATGGGGAATCAGTTGGACCCCGCCAGGCTCCCAACACAATTGTCCTTGACCTATGGCCAGGGTGTGGAGTTCACTCATGCGGTGCACTGTAGCTGCCGTCAGGAGGAAAACTGTTCTCAAGGAAGCATTAAGAACAGTAGCCTGGTCTAGAGGTTCAAACAGGGACCAAAGTGAGCTTGCAGACCCACCCAAGATCTCACGACGGAGGAGAATGTCCGTTGCGAGGTTTGAGAAACATACATGCCTCAGAGGTGGTGTGTGAGGACGGTCCAATCAGTTTGTGAAACATACATGCCTCAGAGGTGGTGTGTGAGGCCGGTCTAATCGGTTTGTGAAACACACATGCCTCGGAGGTGGTGTGTGAAGACGGTCCAATCGGTTTGTGAAACATACATGTCTCGGAGGTGGTGTGTGAGGACGGTCCAATCGGTTTGTGAAACATACATGCCTCGGAGGTGGTGTTTGAGGATGGTCCAATCGGTTTGTGAAACATACATGCCTCGGAGGTGGTGTGTGAGGACGGTCCAATCGGTTTGTGAAACATACATGCCTCGGAGGTGGTGTGTGAGGACGGTCCAATGGGTTTGTGAAACATACATGCCTCGGAGGTGGTGTTTGAGGACGGTCCAATCGGTTTGTGAAACATACATGCTTCGGAGGTGGTGTGTGAGGACGGTCCAATCGGTTTGTGAAACATACATGCCTTGGAGGTGGTGTGTGAGGACGGTCCAATCGGTTTGTGAAACATACATGCCTTGGAGGTGGTGTGTGAGGACGGTCCAACTGGAAATTGAAGAACCATCCCGAAACCTGGGCAAACAGTCACAATTGCAGAGCAATAGTTCCCAATAGGTTTGGGGGCAATAGTGCGGTATCGCATGCACTCCCGTAGGATTTTTATGCTAAAATTGATTATTTTTGCTGTTTTGGCTTCAATAGGGACCAGACTGTGAGAAAATGATGGGGTTCAAATTTTCTGACCCCTCCCTCACTTCCCTGGGAAGGGGGGGGGTCACTTCAGTTTTGACCCCCTAAAAACTTGGTATGGCATGTACTCCCGTAGGATGTTTTGCTAAAATTGATTTTGTTTGCTGTTTTGGCTTCAATAGGGACCAGACTGTGAGAAAATGATGGGGTTCACATTTTCTGACCCCTCCCGGTCGCAGTGGAGTCGTTCTGGGATTCCATAGTTGGAGATGAATTTCTCCCATAGAACTCGTGCCACAGTCCTTGCCTTTCTAGTAGGATAGGCTTGAGAATATCGGGTGTAGTGGTCTGTGATGACCAGTATGTGTTCGTACTCTCCCTTGGAAGTCTCCAAACCTAAAAAATTGATGCTCTGCAGACCTGCTCGTCTTCTTGTCTGGTGTCTTGCGGAGTGCGCATCGTCTGCATTTTGTGATGTACCTCTTCACTTCAGAATACATTTCTGGCCAGAAGTATCTGTCTTTGGCGTGGCCCATGGAATCATGTACCGGTAGGTCAAGGGATTATTGTCAGTCACTGCTGTCACCTGGTTGCCATACAGGTAATCTCTAAATTTGTTGGTAACAGCCCAATGAAGCGCTTTAAATTTCAACTTGTAGGCAGGATTTCTTGCTTCAGATGGAGTTAGGGTCCGGCTCGTGCAGGCAGTTACCCTTTCTTTCCCACCTTGCTCCTGAGTTAGCACTGCACCAAAACCGTCAAGGGAGTCATCAGTCTGAACCGAGAATGGAAGAGTGTAGTCGGCATATGCCAGTATTGGTGCAGAGGTTAATCCGGTGATCGGGTTGGTGAATGCTTCTTGACATCCTTCTGTCCATGCAAAGGGTGGATCTCTGGTGTTCAGCTTGCCTCCGATCAGTGCAAAAGGGGAGCTGCAATCTTTGCATACTGGTGAACAAACCTTCGGTAATAAGCGGTGATCCCCAGAAAACTCCTGACATCCTTCTTGCATTTCGGGATATGCCAATTCTTCACTGCCGAAACCTTCCCAGGATCTTTGGTGATTCCCTCCGCTGACACTTCGTGACCCAGATAGTGCACACTGGTTCTGAAGAGTTGACATTTTGACGCTTTCAACTTTAGCCCGTGCTCTCATAACCTAGCAAACACTTTGCTGAGACGCTCCACGTGCTCCTCCATCATGGTGCTGAAGGCAATGATGTCAATCAGGTAGATGAGCAGACTCTCAAACGCCATGTCACCAAAAACAGTTGACATCAACCTCTGAAATGTAGCTGGCGCGTTCACGAGTCCGAAGGGCTTCAGCTAAACTCAAATAGCCCCATCGGTGAGGTGAAAGCTGTCTTCTGCTGGTCTTTTGTAGCCATCTTGACCTGGTGGTAGCTGGACGTTAGATCAAGGCAAGATAAATATGTTGCCTTTCCCAGGGCATCGAGTGCTTTGACTATACGTGGTGGGGGGTAGGCGTCCCGTATGGTCTTCGAGTTCAGCCGGAGGTAGTCAATGCACAAACGAATCTTTCCATCCTTCTTCTGCACAACTACAATTTGGGGATGTATATTAGGACTCTGGCTGGGATGTATCACACCTGCCTGTCTCAGCTCTTATATATATGGCTTCTAAC